CCAGTGTGTGACTGTTCTACATTCACTCCTGAGAATAAGTTAACAACAATGCACACACACAAAGATACCGTGAGAATCCAAAGTTAAATGATCCATCCACAGACACAAGACAGTTCCCATGGGTGACCTTGTACTCTGCGTAACGTCTCTCAGTCTACCGTGAAACCCGCACTACGCACCTCCTTGGTAGGCTGCTGGTGCATGGTACTGGCAAACTGATTATACAACTGCTGTAGTAAATGATCCATCCACAGACACAAGACAGTTCCCATGGGTGACCTTGTACCCTGCGTAACGTCTCTCAGTCTACCGTGAAACACGCAGTACGCACCTCCTTAGGTAGGCTGCTGGTGCGTGGTGCTGGCAAACTGATTATACAACTGCTGTAGTAAATGATCCATCCACAGACACAAGACAGTTCCCATGGGTGACCTTGTACCCTGCGTAACGTCTCTCAGTCTACCGTGAAACACGCACTACGCACCTCCTTAGGTAGGCTGCTGGTGCATGGTACTGGCAAACTGATTATACAACTGCTGTAGTAAATGATCCATCCACAGACACAAGACAGTTCCCATGGGTGACCTTGTACTCTGCGTAACGTCTCTCAGTCTACCGTGAAACACGCACTACGCACCTCCTTAGGTAGGCTGCTGGTGCATGGTGCTGGCAAACTGATTATACAACTGCTGTAGTAAATGATCCATCCACAGACACAAGACAGTTCCCATGGGTGACCTTGTACTCTGCGTAACGTCTCTCAGTCTACCGTGAAACACGCAGTACGCACCTCCTTAGGTAGGCTGCTGGTGCGTGGTGCTGGCAAACTGATTATACAACTACTGTAGTAAATGATCCATCCACAGACACAAGACAGTTCCCATGGGTGACCTTGTACTCTGCGTAACGTCTCCTAGTCTACCGTGAAACACGCACTACGCACCTCCTTAGGTAGGCTGCTGGTGCATGGTAATGGCAAACTGATTATACAACTACTGTAGTAAATGATCCATCCACAGACACAAGACAGTTCCCATGGGTGACCTTGTACTCTGCGTAACGTCTCTTAGTCTACCGTGAAACACGCACTACGCACCTCCTTAGGTAGGCTGCTGGTGCATGGTACTGGCAAACTGATTATACAACTACTGTAGTAAATGATCCATCCACAGACACAAGACAGTTCCCATGGGTGACCTTGTACTCTGCGTAACGTCTCTTAGTCTACCGTGAAACACGCAGTACGCACCTCCTTAGGTAGGCTGCTGGTGCATGGTACTGGCAAACTGACTATACAACTGCTGTAGTAAATGATCCATCCACAGACACAAGACAGTTCCCATGGGTGACCTTGTACTCTGCGTAACGTCTCTTAGTCTACCGTGAAACACGCAGTACGCACCTCCTTAGGTAGGCTGCTGGTGCATGGTACTGGCAAACTGATTATACAACTGCTGTAGTAAATGATCCATCCACAGACACAAGACAGTTCCCATGGGTGACCTTGTACTCTGCGTAACGTCTCTTAGTCTACCGTGAAACACGCAGTACGCACCTCCTTAGGTAGGCTGCTGGTGCATGGTACTGGCAAACTGACTATACAACTGCTGTAGTAAATGATCCATCCACAGACACAAGACAGTTCCCATGGGTGACCTTGTACTCTGCGTAACGTCTCTTAGTCTACCGTGAAACACGCAGTACGCACCTCCTTAGGTAGGCTGCTGGTGCGTGGTGCTGGCAAACTGATTATACAACTACCGTAGTAAATGATCCATCCACAGACACAAGACAGTTCCCATGGGTGACCTTGTACCCTGCGTAACGTCTCTTAGTCTACCGTGAAACACGCACTACGCACCTCCTTAGGTAGGCTGCTGGTGCGTGGTGCTGGCAAACTGATTATACAACTACTGTAGTAAATGATCCATCCACAGACACAAGACAGTTCCCATGGGTGACCTTGTACTCTGCGTAACGTCTCTTAGTCTACCGTGAAACACGCAGTACGCACCTCCTTAGGTAGGCTGCTGGTGCATGGTACTGGCAAACTGACTATACAACTGCTGTAGTAAATGATCCATCCACAGACACAAGACAGTTCCCATGGGTGACCTTGTACTCTGCGTAACGTCTCTTAGTCTACCGTGAAACACGCAGTACGCACCTCCTTAGGTAGGCTGCTGGTGCGTGGTGCTGGCAAACTGATTATACAACTACTGTAGTAAATGATCCATCCACAGACACAAGACAGTTCCCATGGGTGACCTTGTACTCTGCGTAACGTCACTTAGTCTACCGTGAAACACGCACTACGCACCTCCTTAGGTAGGCTGCTGGTGCGTGGTGCTGGCAAACTGATTATACAACTACTGTAGTAAATGATCCATCCACAGACACAAGACAGTTCCCATGGGTGACCTTGTACTCTGCGTAACGTCTCTTAGACTACCGTGAAACACGCAGTACGCACCTCCTTAGGTAGGCTGCTGGTGCGTGGTGCTGGCAAACTGACTATACAACTGCTGTAGTAAATGATCCATCCACAGACACAAGACAGTTCCCATGGGTGACCTTGTACTCTGCGTAACGTCTCCTAGTCTACCGTGAAACACGCAGTACGCACCTCCTTAGGTAGGCTGCTGGCAAACTGATTATACAACTACTGTAGTAGGGGTTGAAATAATTGTAATGTGACAAATAACATTCATAGAGCTTCCTATATAATTTGCAGTAAAAAAGTAAAATGTCTTGAAAATGTTTATTGTCATTCTCAAGGAAAGATGTGTTTTTTGAGGCAAGCAAATGAAGAAACGCGAAGCAAAGGCAGCTGTAATAATGCGACTCCAGACAATGGCGCGGGCTGGCAAATAGAACATTGTGCTCAGTTCTGTTTTTGTTCATTTTGCTCTTTCCCTTATGTAATCTTTTGATTTATTTGTGGTCTACATACTATGTATCACACCATTGTTAAAGTGTGTATTATGTGTTAAACTATTAAAATACTTTGTTGGTATAACAACACACACTTCACGTACAGTTTGTGAAAATCCAATGTCGAAAGGTTAATCTGAAAGGACTAAATGTGTTTTTCTTTTATAAACTCGCCTTACTTAACAATATCAAATAAGCAAACATGTGCAGATTTGTTACAAGGCTAGCCGCAGCGGAAGCAGATAACTGTGTGGTTTAAGATAACATGTGTCCGAGGAAGTTGGTGTTATCGAATGGCCTGATATTCGCTAATGTCCGCACATGGTCACACATAACAGCCTCCATACAATACTCAAGAGCCGTCAATATCGCTACAACCAGGCCTATCACCATCATACAAAGGCCTACTCAGTTCACTAGCTGTATTTAATCAAACAGGAGAAGGTCACGGATGCGATGTTATCTCGTCACTAACAGAGTACCTTCTCTATCAGTTACAACTCACATTAACTGTTAAAGTATAAAATGTTAAAAGCAGTTGTTTTTGGAAGAGGTTGATGACTGTACTATCAAGTCCAAGTCCAAGTTTGTTTGACTGTGATGCCTCGCATCACTTCTTCTCAAGCTCCTGCTTCACTTTGGAGCATATACTTGATGGCTGCATCGGGTCTATGCCCTGGTAGCCTTGCTACCTGAAGACGCTACGTTGTAGTGTGGAGTTTATTCAATGATGAGGGGCCGGAGCCGGGGAACCTCTTCGGCTATCAGTTCCCGGATATGGTCCCATGGAGACAAGTCCGCCGCCTCCTCCAGTCGTGTTCTGAGTCCGTCTACGTAGTCTCGGATTGTGCAGATTGCAGTGGAGTCTCTGATAACAATGTTCCTCACATACCAGGGAGAGAAAGTTGCTAGACGAAGAGCCTTGCTCTGGACAGTAAGTAGTTTTCGTCTAGATGTTCTGCAGGTGAAGTCATACCATGCAGGGGCTGCGTATGTGAGAACTGGCCGGAGCAGGGTCGTGTAGAGCCTGACTCTTGCAGCTGTCGTCAGCTTCGTCGAGCGGAGCAGTGGGCGGATGGCACAAAGACCTTTCTTTGCGAGGTTGCATACTCTCTCAACGTGGGGAGTCAGTGTCAGTCTTCGATCCAGAAGTACCTTCAAGTACTTCACTTGGTTTCTCCATTGTATGTCTGATCCGTCTAAGTTTAGGTGGTGACCATCGTCCTGTCTCCTTGATCTTGTAAATGAGATGGCCTCACTTTTGTCCGCATTTACTTTGATGCGCCACTTTTTCAGCCATGGGAGCAGCAGGTCCAGCTGACGTTGGACGTACACCCTGGACATCCTCAGGTTGGCAGAGGTGGCAGTGAACAGCGCGTCGTCCGCGTAGAGGGAGAGCTGCACCCTTGGAGCCAGGGGTATATCATTGGTGTACCACAGGTAGAGTATCGGTCCGAGAACTGATCCCTGTGGCACACCCGACGAGACTGGGCGGGATGTTGAGGTTGCTCGTCCAACAGTGACACGGAAACTGCGTGCTGTCAGGTAGCTTCTAATGAGTCTGTATATGGATCCGGGTAGTGGAGACGATGCCAGCTTGAAGAGGAGTCCCTCATGCCAGACTCGGTCAAATTAGAACTACAGCAGTTAAAGTGGCCGGTCGTGTTCTAAAGCAGATAGTTTGTTCTGATGCATATTATTTCTCTAGTTTGATTTCTGTTCTGTTGCAGATTGTTTGTCGGGTTTAATTTTGTCCTAATGTTTATCGTTTTGTCGTGTTGCATTGTTTTAATATATCGTATTGTCGTGTTGCATTGTTCTAATATTTGTTTTGTCGTGTTGCATTGTTCTAATATATTGTTTTGTCTTGTTGCATTGTCCTAATGTTTATTGTTTTGTCGTGTTGCATTGTCCTAATGTTTATTGTTTTGTCGTGTTGCATTGTTCTAATATATTGTTTTGTCGTGTTGTATTGTTCTAATATATTGTTTTGTCGTGTTGTATTGTTCTAATATATTGTTTTGTCGTGTTGTATTGTTCTAATATATCGTTTTGTCGTGTTGCAGGCTGCAGCCCCGAGGCAGGAGTGCCCGATATGACGGTCATCTCCGACATAGACGAGGTCGGCATCAACCGCAACCTGCAGACCCGCTACACCAGGGACCGCATATACGTATCCTTTACATGTAACTGTAGCATTTACATTGTTTGAAACAAGTTTTTACTGGCGTTGGTCATTGAGTAAACCAAAAGCCCTTCTAACAGAGTATTATTTTGTCTATGCTTCTAGTAATTTAAGATCAGTTTAGCCTTAGTCAGTAACAAAGCTACATCTGGTACATTTTGCTTAATTGAAATACTCTAGCTATATGGACCAACTGTAGTCTAAATTAATTGTCTCAATGAGAACATTCTGGAATGGTCGGTCACAGTGTTCTATAGTTTAAAGTTTTAGTCTCATTTAGTGGTGAGATGTTTAAACATAGGCACATAGGCTGTAGTTTAAACATTTATTTGTAGTTAATGAATTGTTTCAAAAGCGTAAACACTATCAATATGATTGATACAGTAGAATTACAGCATACAGATTGGATAGCAATACTGTTGGAGTAGTTGTTCCGGAAATGCCCACTTCACAATACAGCAAAGCTGTGCAACTGAGCGGTCTAATAGCTGGACACACGCGACTATTGTTATTGCCTCAGTCAGGTGATTTACATGACAAATTGTTTGTACATAGTATATGGAGAAAGAATTGTTTCGTCAAATTTTCGAGTTTGAGTTTTGAGTGGGGAATATGTTGGGATCCTCTGTACCCCGAAATGTGGCTTTCGAAGTGATATGTGTGTGGATGTGTACAGATCTACACACAAGACCCTTGGTCCGATTTTGATGAAATTTTGTGGGCATCTCCAGGAGTTTTTAATTTTTTTTTCTGATTTTAATGGTGAATTTTCCATAAAAAAACCCATAGAATAACGGTAAAACCTGGATTCCACAAAAATAGCCCCGACGATTTTTATGCAAATTTTGTATTTTATAGCCCTTTCAATTTCTTAACAAAATTGTACAACCCACATTGCTGTAAACATTACAGCTTAACAGTTATTGGTCTTATGTGATTTTTCCACAAAATAACAGAAAATCGGATTCCCAACAAAACGACCCGACCGAAGGTGGTTGTATTTTATGGTCCTTGTCGCTCTAAAAAATGGTTCAACCCCCAATACAGTAAAAATTATGGTACAAAAGTTACTGCAACTTTGCGATTTTACCCATAAATACCATAGTTACTCTCACCACTTGTTCATGAAGCGTTTTTGGCGATCTAATTAGAGAAAGTATTTGTCAGATTGCTGACACATTTTATTTAAAATTGAAATTGATTATTCACTTTAAAATAATTACAGTGCATATGTACATTACTTTACTGGCTTTTAAAAGCTGAAACTACATTGAATATAAATAAATATATAACATCACTCGTTCATAATATAAATAGTAATACATTTTTTACCTAGGAAATCCAGATGACGAGCAATGTTCAATATCAATTTGATTTGTACTCAAAGAAAAATAATTAAAATCTTAAATAAAAGAACTATTCAATTTAAAACCAAAACGTCTCATTTAATTTTCTTTTACTACACTTAAACACTAGTAAAGTACAATGTTAAGAAAGTTGGTACATGTTGTGGTAGCAGTATACTTCATCAAATCAAATTATATTTGTGTTCCTAAGCTGGTTGAATTGTAAACTATGGCATTTACAGTATATCTAAGTTTTAACGATAACATTTTCAAATGTAAAGATAACAATTGGTACAAATCTTACTTCTTGGTTGTAACATAAACAAATAATAAATACCATTGTATGATATCACAATTTTTATATAAAAATCATTTCGGTAAAATTTAATTATATTGCATAATCTGATAAACTGTTAAATCTTCTCAAGTTGAAGAGAATGCACTTTCCAAGTTAATGACAATAAATAAGCCACAAGAGGATTTCTCCGGCTCAAGTTTCTGAGAACCTCACATCATTACTGTAACAAATATATGTTCTGTCTCTGTTTCACTTGGTTATTAATCTATAAGATTTTGTCAGAAGCTTATTTCTGATTTGTATGCCTATAAAACATATGCATTTTTATATCACGCTCTTTTGTACGGATAACTATTAGCATAGATGAAGTAATATCTTCATCTATGCTATTAGGTCTACAGCCTTGTAAAAACAATAATTGAAAGGGATTTTTCCTATAGAAATTTCAATATTGTTTTATGTTGTAATCTGCTTCTGTATTTTCTTTATTTCGAACTAAAAAATGGTCTTCCTAGTTTCTAATATAAGTCAGTATTACAAAGCAGTATTGCATTATTAGATCAAATTTAATTTTATATTTATATCTCGAGGATATGTTTTTAAAAGTTTGGTCCTTAAAAATTAATTTCATGTTTCTATTAATTATTTGACTATTTTCAATTGTAAAATGGATAGGCTACATTCGGTGTTTCTGCTTAGTTCTTACAGCATGTTTCAAGGTGTTGAATCAAATTCCTGTTTATTTTAATTATTATTTGCATTCATTATAGAATGTAATATCCGGAAGATGAGAAGTGACCAAATAAAATCAGAAAACTTGAAACGAGAATCTTTATTCTTCAAATGGAATTCATTTTCCATTCAATTGGCGTTAGATACGACTCCACGTGCAAGTTCTATTAGTATCGAGTGGCGTTATTTTCATTTAAATTGGTTTTACAAAAAACTTGCCAAACAAACAATTGATAACCCTTGTTCGTGCAGTTTCAATGGATGTTGACAAAAATAGCCGTATATACATTCACCAACCAATATAGGGCTAACATCGATCAAGGTGCCGAATTCAATTGAGTACATATTTGATTTTTTAAGTATATTCATATTAAATATTTGTTTCACAGTTTGGATGACAGAGGTAGCAAATGCGTTTATCATTTACAAGAGAATGGCGATTTCAGAGGAGACCCTAATTTAAGAAATCCTTTATAATATTTTTTTAATGTTTATAAAAAGGTAAATCATCGACGTAAACTGCAACGTTACGTTACGTTAGTACAGTAAAGTGCTGTACATAATTAAAGCTTCCATAAACACTTGTAGCAAGAGCTGCATTGAGTAGACACTTCGAGTGGACTGTTAACCGTAGCATTGTACAACCGAGGTGAGGGTTTACTGGTCTACTTGAGACTACGACTTGTAGGACTACAGTATCTCTATGTACATAACTGTAGTTACAATGGATCTCAATATTGATTTTACGACGCATCAAAATGTTCACCTATTTATTGATTAGAATGTTGTGTGGTTAAAATTATATGTACCAGCCTTGGTTAATGTTGCCAACAAACAATTAAAAAAACTATACGTACAAATTCACAGTACAGAAGAAACATTTAAATAACCATCTATGAAAAGTGCTGCATTCCCTAAACAATTAACTCAAAATAACTTTTAATTAAAATTATCTTTGTTTTTACTAGTGAATAGAGTACATATTTTGTAATTAGTACTAAACAATTAATTTACTTCAGATCAGCATTAGTTAATTGAGCTACTGTACCAAATTTAGTCCAATGTTGAGTTATTTTAAAAACTCTTTCTGGGGTTACTATTATTTTCGAGTCATACGACTCATTATCAAGTTTAACACGGATTGACAGTCCACATAAGACTAAAGACGGACAAAGTTACGTAGCCTATCTTATTTTAAAATGATTTGTTCATACGCATAACAAACACATTTCTCAAACTGATTTGATATGGTTTGGTTGATAACTGGTATTCTCCCTGTACTGTATTGGGTGAATTACGACAGATAGGACCAAAGTGTTTCTCTCTGTAACATGTTTACAATATCGATTTCAAGACTTCAAATATTGAATGTAAAACCACTTTGACAGCCAGCGGTGATAGTTACAACTTATGTCTTCAAACATCCTCCCCGACTTCGACCTTGGCCTCTGAAATGTTAATATTGTCCCGTCGCATGACAAGGCGTGGCCTTCGTGTCCAATGACAGATTTTATTTACCGACAGAAGATTGCAATTGATTTGATTTGGTTATTAATTTTGCAAACAAAATAATATTTCTGAACTATACCGAACTAAAATTTTTGAATTCGTAATTTTTAGATAAGGTTGAGTAGGACGAGCGTGTGTTACCAGTTTGAGTTGAGTTAAAATAGATTAATTGTACCATACTTCAATTAACTAATTGACTTATTGTTTGCCCCTCCAGTCTAGTTCCAAACGAACGACAGACATTGTCAGTTATGTTGTTTACAAGCTGACCAAGAATTGCTGCTATCTCTAAAGTAACTACCCCCCCCCCCCCGGGACTACGTACTACTGTATCTACGCGAGGATGAGGTCGGGTGAATTATATATGGAGTAGCTGACGTGAGGTCGCAAGAATATTCAACGTTCTTCACAATTCATGAGAGAAATACATTCAGTGCAGAGGGATAGAAACATTATACATAGAATTGCAAAAACCGGTACATACTTCTGCAATATAACGTACAGTAGTAAGTTGTGTGTATAATGACAGTATATGGCCATCTTACACACGCTACCACACATATATTGTGCACATTTCTATTATCACAACTCATTAGTACGTTTTTTATTAGCAGTAAAGTCATAAAATCATTGTGTGTTTCCAGCGACCTGTGTTTATTATATTTTTACTATACACAGTGGCAAGTAAATAATTCGTTATGAAAAATGCGCACTACTTAGTTGCGCTTTTGACTTATAACTGCAAATAGGTACTAAGAAATATAGTTTAAATAATTGGCCCTAAAATATTACTTTTCCAAGAATTCTGCAACTTTCCAATCGCAGATTACAAATTAGGGTCATTATTAGCCATTTTAAAACTTTTAATGTGATGTTTACATTATGCTTATTTTATGTTTATATTATGCTTATTTTGGTTGCTCTCATTATGTGAGCACCATTATACAGTAGGTGGCTAGATACACGACATTCGCTGAGTCTAGCAGCACTTGATCTATCCTGTCAAGATGCTTCAGCGTGCTGAGTCAGCGCATTGCATGTCTTCGATACAGATTTCCTCTATTAAAAGTTGTTGAGAAACTACTGCGTATTATCAGTAGTTT